TAGAGGGATCTATGTGGACTCACCGCAGCGACTGAAACTCCTCCGTATCCAGGAACAAAATCCATGGCATCCGCCTGAAACATTCATTGACACCAAACCCCCCACAATTCTGGGTGTCGGAATGATGGCAGCATAAGTGCAGGAAAAGCCTATACCTGCAGGAATGAAGTCATTGTGTGAAGGACATTTCTAAATGCACTTCAATTGTACTTCAGAATCGGGTGTGATTGCAGAACTCCAGCACAAGGCTCTCTAATGCACTTTCTTTAAAAGCCATCAAATCATTTTTTTCAATTACCTGAAATGTGACAGGTCCTCTTCAAAGTCTGCCTCCTCCGAGTATATTTATGCCATATGAGTGATTGGCCACAAACCTCTAACTTCATTATTTCTCTGCAGACTGATCGGGACGTTCCGCATGGTCCTCCAGAAGGTGGTGGAAGAGGCGCAGCTGGAAGTGACGGACACTCTCATCGATGACAACAATTCAGCAATCAGAGTACGTATCTAGAATGGGTTTTGAAGATCAATTTGCTCGAATTGTAAAATTGTTGTAAGGTAATGCAGAGAACATCACGGCTCTGTGCTAAACTTCCTTGGTTTATCTTAAAGTGACATTACTCTTACACCCAGATATTACTTCTAAGCAGGCACGGATTTCCCACAAGGCCACCGAGACCCGGCCTCGGGGCGGCAGGGCGCAGAGGGGCGGCAGCGGTGTGAAGTCCCCCGACGCCCGGAAAATACAGTTCCGGGCGGGTAAAGGTGCCCATACACTGCTCGATTCTCGTACGAGAATCGCGGGAAATCCCGATTGTACGAGAATCGAGCAGTGTGAACGAAGACGTGTGACCGTTTCTACTGTACGGTCGCACGTCTTTTGTCTAAGGAGCACGCTAGAAAACCAGCCGAGAATCGTACGATTTTTGGCTGGTTTGAACGGTGCTCAGGAGACAAATGCCGAACGGGCCGGTGTGCGCACACGCACACTGCCCGTTCAGCATTGCGGTCATCGGAAATGATCGAGAGTACAATCTGCCTTTCCAAGATGGGCAGATCGTAAGTTTTTTAAATCACTTTACAAGCATCGGAAGACTAAGGTTTTGCGATGGTTGTACAGTGTATGGCCACCTTAAGTTGCCTTGTAGGGAATCCGGCCGTACATTTACAGGTGATCGCGGCGATGTCACCGCAATCACTTGTAAAATCTGTGCAGCCTGTTCGTCCTCCCCCCCTCACTTACCTCTGGTTCCGGCCGCCGAGTCTCTCCTCACTTGCCGTCGATGTGGGGAGCAGAGCGGCAGGGTTAAAAATAACCCTGCCGGTCCATGTAGACTGTAGACAGTGAGAGGGGAGAGCTGTGCTGTGCTAGAACTCCTGTATTGGAGGTGACGGGGTCAATAAAGAGAACCTGTCACCTCCAAATGCTATAGCACAGGGGATTGTTAGCTAGAAAAAAAAAAAGAAGAAATAATAATTAAATAAAAATAAATAAAAAGGTGATTAAAAAGAAAAACATAATAAGAAATAAAATATTAAAAAATAAGAAAATAACTATAAAAAATAAACAACAATAAGATTAAAAAAAATTTAAAAAGTAAACGATAAGCTAAAAATGTCAAAAAGTAAAAAAATTAATTAAATTAAAAAGTGATAAAAAAGAAAGAAACAATAAAAATAAATAAAACTAACCCTGCCGCCCCTGCCATCCGGTTGCCATTCTCCGTTGATGGGGGGATGCGGGGAGGGGGGCGCATAGCAGAACCTGGCCTTGGGGCGACAGGGATAGTAAATCCAGCCCTGCACACAACTTTCACACATTTTCTACTTGGATCTTGGTTAAAAGTTGTGTGAATCTTGGGTGAATACATTGTTAAATATTTACCCTTGAATGTGTATTTAAAGCCATTGTTTTTGTTTAGGATAGAGGATGGTTAAGAGACCTGTCAGGTTTTTCTTTTTTCTTCTCGACAGCCCTATATTTGCTGCATTTACGACATACACATCCCTGCACATGAGACATTTGTAATAAAAGGCTTCCTTTATGCCATGGTCATACCTGTTCTAGCTTGAATTCTCACAACGTTTATGCATTTGGAATACTTAGACCAGGGGTAGGCAACCTTGACATGCCAGCAGCTGTGGAACTACAAGTCCTATGGGGCATTGCAAGACTCAGACATCACAGGTGTGACTTCCAGAGGCAAAGATATGATGGAATTTGTAGTTTCGCCACAGCTGCATGGTGAGGTGGCCTACCCCTGTGCTTTGCTTATACAAGGTAAAGCGAGTGATTAATGCTGGACCATAAAGCAGGTCATACTTACTCCATTCCTCCTATTAGAGCCCTAAGCCATGTGTATGCTTTGTTTTTCTCATGATGGGTTTCCTTTAAAGGACAGAAAGAAGAATAAGGAAGGGATACAATATTCAAAGTGTTGTAAATACAAAGGGAGCTTCAGCTTTATTTTCTGTTGTTAACCATGCCAACTGTGTCTAGTAAATAATTCAGAACGGCTTTCTGTTTTGTCTCTCTTGTTTTGTTCTTTTACAGATCAAGCAGACATCTACAGGTACAAAAAGTGATATCCACTACTGGATAGGAAAAGACTCCACTCAGGACGAACAAGGGGCAGCTGCAGTCTACACATCACAACTGGACGAGGCATTGGGGGCTAGCCCAATCCAACACAGAGAGGTGCAAGGATATGAATCAGCCGCGTTTAAAAGTTACTTCAAGAATGGAGTTATGTAAGTGGCTTAAGAAATGTTCACATCATACATACTGTTTTTTGGAACTCATATTTGAATGAGAGTCCAGCCCACAAGCAAAATATAAATCTGTAACAGTGTTTCTCAATTCTAGTCTTTGGTGGCCACCAACAATTCATTTTTCCAGATCTGTTTACAGGAATAAAGTGCTTTTTGTTACTAATTGGTAACGTTGTGCTTCTCCGTGGCAGTCTGGAAGTCATGCAGAGTTGGTAAGGACCGAGTTGAAAAACACTGGTCAAGACAACTTAAAATGTATGTTGAACCAAAGTCTTATTTATTTTTTTGGAGTCTCATTTGGGAGATTTAGTGTTTTCCAGATTTCTTCACAAGTAAATTGTCATTTTTTATTGTACAACATTCAGTAAAGTTCACCTGCTAAAAAAATGTTCATCTAATAACTTACCAAACTGGGTATACCCAGTCAATGGTGATTCAGGTGAGCAGGAGGGAGCAGAGACAAAAATAAAAATAGATCCTTCTAAGAGTAGTCTTCAGTATCATGTGTATAGAAAGGTTACTGGCAAAAAGTGTGGTAAATGTATACTGCATTGATAAGGTTGCTGGATACCCCTCCTAGGGTCCTATGGTCAAGCAACCTAAATCAGCACATGTGGAGAATATGATTGTCTCCATGCAGAATGTGGCCAGTTGCACTCAATGCTTGTCAGGGTTTTCCAGAGATTACTGCACTACACTGTTCTGTTATCAGGTTCTAGTGAACAATGGTAGAAGGGATGAGGCCCCAAGATGAAACCATGTGGATTATAAGAACAGGTTAACACACCATCAAGGCGTTTGGTGGCTCTTTGGTGGGCAGGAAAAGGTATACAGTACACTTTAGTAGTCAGGATCAGTGTGCATTCCTTCAACCCAGGGTACACACTGAGCTGAAGGAATGCATACTGACTCTGCCCATTAAAGTCTACTGTACACCTTTTCCTGATAAAATGTTCAAAGAGCTATGGAACACGTTGAAGGTGTGATTTAATGTGATCAAACGATCAAGAAATATCCATCTTCCTGAAGAATCTATTTGGAAGCACTTTTTTAACGGTTAGCCTCTGCTAACCACCCATTGGTTCAATTTTTGGCCATCTTCCCTTCTATCAACTTACCGAGCTATGTCCCTCAGGCCACCCAGTACCAGAGTGGAAAAGATTGGTATGGCTTAGTGGTTTTCAGGTGTTCAGCTCTGGTTCCCTGTTAGGGAATGTCCCCCCCCCCCTCTCTAGTAGGGTCACAGCTCCACTCAATAGTAACCTGCATATGACATTATTATTACCTACAATTATTGTTGCAAATTGCTTGAATTAAACTCCATTAGTCTTTGTTATTCATTGGCTAGTGTTTAAACAGTATGCCCATATCCCCTCAGTACATAGGAAATCCACACTGTCATTCACTGAAATTATTATTCACTATAGAGCACCATTCTTGCACAATGTACATATAACCTGGATCAGCCTTGTATATAATGATACTTTTCTGCTAAAATATGCTATAAATTGGGCTTTTTGTAAAACTTGTGTTTTTCTCCCACCTGCCAGCTACAAGAAAGGAGGAGTTGCCTCAGGATTCAAACATGTGGAAACAAATATGTACAATATTCGGCGTCTGCTTCATGTGAAGGGCAGGAAACATGTCTCCGCTTCAGAGGTGTGTGTCTAATGTGTTTTGTAGTTTCTTGTTATACAGAGGCAACTGAGAGTGCCTAGAAAAAACGTCTTTGTTCTCCATAGCAACCAACCAGCTATGCCCATAGTAACCAGTAACTGCCTATGGGGAGATTGTGATTGTGTGCTGACTATTGCAGGCAAATAATGAAAACAGAATCCACAAAAAGTCTGTTCATTCAAAAATGGATTGTCAGATATGCCATTAAGCCAGCCTACGGTCATGTGTTGATGGGCTTTTGTTTACATCAGATGGGTTTTGTATTCTCATACAAGTCTATGGGAATGCAAAATGTGATTGAAGCAAGTCAGATGCCGGTCAGAAAGAGCTCAAGTGCAGGTCAGAAGCATGAAGCATCCCAGAAGCATCTCAAACTGATATCAAACCAGTGCCATCTACACAAGCCCAAATCCCCTTGACACTGGGTCTTAAAGCTGACCTCCAAACAAACAGCTATATAGATAAAATACATATATGGAAACTATTTTACTTCCCCAAAGATTTGTTTTTCTGTCCATATAGTCCTGAGAATCTGGCAGACAGGATAATGATCTGATTTTTGTTTATACTGCAGCTAAGCAGCATAGCTTGGTCACCTATCCCTACCATGAAATTGGACAATGAATCATCAGTAGTGTATTGCTGAGCATAGTAAACTGTTCTCCCCTTCTTCCACAATGTTCCTTGTCAGTATATTTGCAAGCAGCATTTGGTTGGCTCCTAGTTCTACAAAATTAGCAATATCAAGTAATTTCCAAGTATTTATATTAGTATTAATTAAAATGCAAATGCATTAATCAATGTTATTTTTTATATCTGCTTGAAGTTCAGATTTAAAGAAGAACTCTAATTGAAAAGTGTGATATTGAAATGAGGAACTGTTAAAATCATAAAGTACAACCAACCCTCATTCAGAACTATTGAGCTTATACATATTGGGAAACAGTGGTACTTTATGTGGCCATTAACGCTACAGATAGTGTTCTTCTTTAAAGTAAACCTTTGCTTTGCCCATGTAACACAAAAGCAACAAATTTGTTTTATGTACATATTGTACGTATATGTACATATATATATGTACTTTTCCTCTGCCCCCTACCGCTCCGCCAGTGCGACAAACTAATTCTATTTAACAGCACTGGGCCAACCCAAAGTCCGTAATCCTGTGTAAGCTACAATGCCAGTGACTCATGGCTTACACAAGGATTTCCTTCTCTCCCAGTAGCTAAATAGAGTGATGGGGAGCAAAATGCAAGTTAGTATGTAAGGGCTAAATTAAAGTCAGCCTGCTTCTTTGCCCTACATGGGCAGAGCAGACATTCTATATAATCAGTTCTGATTTTGCTCAAAAAAATTAAAGGAGATGGCAAAGGACTAGTCACTAGTATTGTTTGAGGTCTCACTGCATCTGTTTTTTCCCCCATTGATGACTTACCATGCCTTGTCCTGCATTGTGTCTCGGCGTGGATGTGGCCATCTGTCTGAAGGCAGGACTTTGCTTCCTCATGCCAGATAAGCCTCCCTCATGATCTGCTGACTGGTGAAGGAATGTTCAAAAATCAGCAGGATTGTTGGTGGAACCACACATCCACAAAATGAATAAAGCAGAAGCGGGGAGATATTTTGCGCCATAGGTCTTCAGGTACAATAGTGATATCACCAGATTTCACTTCGAATCTTGTCAGTCAGGGGCAGCAGTGCCATAGATTATCTCACACTGCAGATGTGAAGCACTGCTATTTTTTAAGAGGAATTCAAGGCAAAAGGTAGATTTTTTTAGGCACTACTTAGGTACAATTAACATTTCCAGATATTCCCAATAACATAGCAAATCTTCACTTTTCGAGTTGAGCTCCACTTTAAGGTACCTAAAGCATTTAATAATGGCGGGGATTTTACTGCAGAAAACCAGTTAAAATAGTAAATAGTCTCCAGACCGGATGACACCCGCCGTGTCGTCATCGCGCGTGCACATGACGTCACCTCGTGTGTGCGCGATAACGTCATCAGGCATGCGCGGCCATCTGGTGATGGACTCCGGCAGAGAGAGGAGGGGACGTCCAGCCCACGGGATGAGGTATGCTGCCGGGTTCCCTCCTCTTTCCTGACACTGTCGGGCTCTAGGTCCATGACCGAGTGCCCGACTTTTTAGAGGGGGTGACACCAAAATGACTGTCAGTCATTTTGGTGTCACCCCTGCAATGGTGTCACCCAGGTGCAGGCCGCACCCCCCTTGTGACGCCACTTAATATACCACAGACTACAGTGGGCAATAAATATAGACAACCGTTCCCCAAAGGCACCATTGGCAACAGGGGTTTCTATTTTGTACAAAGAAATGCCATGTTGCAGTTGGAAAATGAAAGTTTGTTTGACACTCAGATGTATGAATGTTGACCCCAATGTTCAGTATGCGGCCTTCTTTAAGAATGTAATTAATATAGAATTTTCTCCAGTTTATCAAAAATATAATGTTTGAGTTTCATTGAACTTAGGTTGCTTGTTTGGTGGATTTAATGAACAAGCTTTGGTAACAATACAATTATTGTTTAGTCTTTTTATTACAGTGAACTGAAATCCTTTGTGGAAATAACCTTTTCTATTCAGTGGGATGTTGACTACAACATCATGTTTGTTTTACCAACGGCATGAGTTTCAGATCTGCTTGAATTCATTCTCCTTTGTATTGGCTTTATTTTATGTTATGTTTAAGATTCCGAGTAGCACGGCTGCTGCTTGCTGGGATAGCTTTGAGAACATATTGTTGAATAGATAACTGATAAAAAAAACAAAAAAAACTTTATTGATTAAAATAATGTAGAATTTACATTATTTCTAAACAAAAAACTTAAGTAATGAAAAATCCAACATTTTGAGTTGTCCCCAACACAGGAAAAGAAGGGAAATCTTCTAATGGCAACGCCTGTGGTGACAACTGCCTTCTGATTTCCTGTTGTGTCTATAGGACAGAAAGTGAAGGGAAACCTCCTCAAAGATACACAGATGGCAAAAATATATGTTCCTGCTCTCACTCCATGCCTCAGATGGTCAGCAATTTATACAATATGTTAGCTATACTACAGAGAATATCATAAAACAATGGGATCTTAAAAGTATTGTTAAGTTTTTGGGTCTTTTATATATAATGCAACCTGCATTATAGGTTAGGTATCCCTTTCTCGGGGGATGAAGATATATGATTTTTCAAGGAATTGCCAATTGTAGAAAGGCAGACATTGTGAAAAGTGAATTCTCTCTCTCTCTCTTCTAGGTTGACATGTCATGGAACAGTTTCAATAAAGGGGATGTTTTCCTGCTAGACCTGGGGAAAGTTATCATCCAATGGAATGGGCCAGAAAGCAACAAGACAGAAAGGATACGGGTCAGTCAAAACACTTCAAATTATTTTGTAAATAATCACATTTTTGGAGGAATCTAATTTTTTAAACTGAAAAGAAGAATAATAAAAAAATTATTAATAATAATAATAATAATCTAAAGAACAATTGTTCTAGTACATGCAATAACTAATGGCAGTCAGTTTAAAAAAAAATAAAAAAAATATGTATCACGAAAACATCTTTTTTTTACCCTTTCATGTTTTTTTCATCCTTTTTTGCATCCCAGTGCTGCCGATCTTCTGCAGTCTCTTTGCAGTCTCTTTTTGTCTACATGCATGTTCTTTAGCAATGGCTGCATGACATTTCACATTCAGGGTGAGTTTCCTGATGGTGACAACATTGGAACATGCCTGTGTAATGTGGTTAAGATTACCCCTTGTATTCCCCATTGGAATCCAATCTGACCAAGCGACATTGCAGGAGCATGATTGGGAAGCAGGGAAAGGGCACTGTCACCCTATAACAGGAAGTACTGGAACCAGGACTCTTATGGCAGGATCATCGGGTATTATGTTAATGAAACCTGCAGTTTTTAAACAGACTGACGATGGCTATTGAGTTTACAGTAACATGATAAAGCTTGTATTTATTGTAACATATTACAATAAAATGTACTGAAAAAGTAACATTTGAGAAGTAATTCTAGACTCCATGTCTAGAAAATTAAATTGAGGCTGTGAACTGCACTTTTTTAGCATAGTTTACAAAAATGAAAAGACTGCTTTGTGATTGCCTATAAATTGTACCGCTCAGACCTCAGATAAATGGCACTACAATTGCTGATCCTACCACTAAAATGATTATAGCTAATGCTAGCAATATTGCTGTTCCTTCTATTACTACTGCTACTGCTACTGGTACTCTTTTCAATACTTCCACTACAATCTCTACTTTTGCTACTTCTTCTGTTTCTAAAACACCTACTGCCATAACTGTTATAATATTGTGTTCTACATGATTTGTGGATTCCTGTAAATATGATTTATTAATAATTCTCTTCTCTCCTAGGCCTGTGCCTTGGCACAGAGTATCAGAGATGATGAGAGGGGAGGTAGGGCACAGATCGGGGTTATAGACAATGAGCAAGAGTCCCCTGACCTGATGCAGATTATGACGGCTGTGCTGGGGGCTAGAAGTGGGGAACTGAAAGATGCCATTGCGGATGATAAGCCGGATGAGCAACAGAAATCAAATGTCAGACTCTATCAGTAAGTCACAAGCACTGGTCATATACTATGATTCTGAGTGATAGAAGCAGAAACCATAGGGCTATGTCATCCCAAAATGAGTTTATTTAAATTGTAAAGTAAATGAATGCTTTCACTATGCAACATTTTTAGAAGTTACATTGCAGGCAGAGGAACTTGAAAAATCCATTTAGAATTCAAAACACACAGCTGTTCTCATGAGTAACATTATACCTGCTTTACATAAATATAGCTTTGCATAAGCATGTTTTCATGTATTTTATTCTGTGACATTTATGGGATTTCTGTGGCTACTGTAATTGGCAACATCAAAATAATGCCTAATAATACACACATAAATCTAAGATTTGCTGAAATAACTAAAATAACGCTTATCGCAGTTGCAGTTGAAATTCAGTTTCTTTAAAAAGGGAAGCCTGATGAGTAGTTCATCCTAAATTTCCTTACAGCTTCATTTGTTTTAAAATAGGGTTGCATACCCATCCCTGTGCTCACTGACATATCCAATTCATACAATCTCTATGGTTAATTGACTTCATTCAGAACCTTACCTGGATTCAACTATTAAATAGAGCACTAAATTCTTTTGTGGCAATAATTAATTTGAAAGTTGGCAACATTCTCAGCAACAATAAAAAGAGGTAGTTTGACATTTTTTGTTGTCTAGTAACAATCTAAAAATTGGAATGGAATTCATACATACATACAGTATATGTCATTGCTGAAGTTTTGTAGCAGTCTCTCAACCTTAAATTATTTTTTTTGCAGTGTTTTTGAAAAAAACGGGGATTTAGTAGTACAAGAAATTGCAACAAAACCTCTTACCCAGGATCTGCTTCAGCACCAAGTGAGTAGATTACATAGAAGCAAAATTATGTGGTCATATGGACTCATTCAAGTAACTCTTTTACCATGTCCCCTGCAACGTGGTGCCAGCCACTTAGTCTTTTGTAACATGATGGCAGTCAATCACAGCCTCTTGTAACATGTCAATAGTTACTCACAGTCTCTGGTGACATTCTTATGATCTCTGACAGTTCCTGGTAACATGTAAGCAGTCAGTCACATTCTTTTGCCGCATGAAAGCCGTCGCTAGATCTTTGTTGTAACATAGTAGAGTTGACTTTACCTCCAGCACCACTATACAATTAGGAAATACTATCTACAGGAAAACAGTAAACGTAAGGATTAACCATAATTGATACCTGTGGTGGCACCATCATGTGACCTATGTGTACTTTATTCCGCAGGACTGCCACATCCTGGATCAAGGAGGAGTAAAGATTTTTGTCTGGAGAGGTAAAGACTCCAGTGCAGAAGAGAAGAAGGCAGCTTTCAGCCGAGCAGTAGTAAGTCATTCAAACCATGAATGGGCCCTGTATACATAAGCAACGTATGTAGTTACAGTATGTTTCATTATAATACTAAATAGTACATTTAGCCAAAGAAGAGGATCTTTGCGCTACAATGTTCAATAGTGCATCTGTCACTGTGATGGGTGAAGTGCATCTGTATATTGTAATGGGGAGTTTGACAAATGGGAGTGGGGGGAGGGGGGGAGTAAGCAGGGATGGGGTGTATTTTCTGCCCAGGCACATTTGGTGAAATGTGCTTAGTTATGAGCCTTATGACTAGGGCACCTTTTATTCGAATTACATCAAGGTCCTATGTCATACTTGCTGGTGATTGCTGCCTGACATACAATAAGAAAAACCCCAATCCTTGCCCTGCTATTGTATTGATTCTTTTCATCTTAAAGTGTATGTCATCAACCAGACGAAATGTCATTTTCATGGCACTCTGCCAGACGGATTAAGCTGGGTTCCCAGGCAGGAACAATGTTTATAGTTTACAGCAGTGATGCTATCATTGTATTGGGGGAATGCAACTAAGTGTGCTTTTCTGGGATTCCAAAATAACTTGCCCTTTGGCCGATCGCATTGCTATAGTCCTAGGATATAAGAGGTAATAAGAAGTGCGAAATATAACCCTTGGGTGAATAAGCCAAACTTTCCCAAGATGCCAAAGTGCATGTGTTATGAGAAAAATATGTGGACTACCCCCCTGACCTTCTAAAATGTCAGTTCCCTGGCTGCCATATTAATGCTTTGGCTTCTTTGTTTTCTGAGCCAGTGACTTGAACAAGTACACTTTGTAGGTCTTTTGTTTGCTGTATGATTGTTCTGACTCAGAAGTATGGAAACCAGACAAATTCAGATGGAGACTGACAATAGCAGCCCATATATTTTTATCAAGACAGTTTATCTCTAGGAGAGGTGGTGAATTCCTGGAGAGAAATTAGCTCAATGGAAAAGCATACTTCATATACACAAAACATAGAGGTTATACAAAATGCATGATGTTTAGTACTTACCAGTCTGGATTCCGATCACAGGAGCCTGTAGACATACAACCTTTGGTACCCAAAGTCAAACCCCTTTGCCTTTGCATCACTTTTATATAAAACTTTGTTTGTTTTACGGCTTCTAACCTGGCTTTGAATATTGAAACAATGTGTAACTAGTCTTATACGAGATGGCAGTGATTCTTTTAGTAACAGGAAAAAAAATGTGGCAAATACCTATACAGAAAAGCTACCTCTGCTTCTTAAAAGCACAGGCCTAATATGGCTAATGATAAATCTGGACCTGATCAACCCATAGTCTCTAAAATAGAAAATAAAAGCAGTAGCATTACCTGTGGCCTTGTAATAATTTCTCACTGCATATCAAACTCAAACATGGCTGGCATAGCAAAATGCTAAAATATGAATTATTTAAATGTCCAGCATTATTGTAAAATAAAATGCTCTAGTCTATGAATTTGATGTTAGTATTAAAAAGGCCATTAGTTACTGTACATAGACAAAGAAGAGACAGCTCACCCATCATTCTACAGCACAATGCCCAGCAATGGGTTACAGGTGTCAAACTAATAAAGGTTGAATGGTTGTCATTGGGTTACTGCACATCATCATACCGTTAATATAACTCACTGCATTATGGTATTTACTGGAGGATGTTTATTACTTGTAGGGGTTCATCCAAGCCAAGGGCTACCCTGCTACTACTAATGTGGAGGTAGTGAATGACGGAGCTGAGTCTTCTATGTTCAAACAATTATTTCAGAACTGGAGGGATTTTGGAGAGACACAAGGAATTGGAAAGACATACAATGTGGGGAAGATTGGTATGATGCCTTGCAAGTTTCAAACATTTATGAAAATTGTCTATATATATATATATATAAAAATATGTTTGTCACACTTAGATCACATGTCTCAATTTTTGACCAGCAATAAAGGCAACTTTCTTAAGGCAAAGAGTAGAGTAGTAACGCACAACGGCCAGTAATATGGTAATGATGACAGATTAAGCTTTAATCTGTCATCTGGCCATACACCACTGGAATTTAGAATTGTATTTGTTGTTTTTAAAGAATGTACAGTAAACTTCCAGTTATGCAGCACCAACGAGGATCGGTAGATGCCGGATAACTGTAGTTTCTGGTTGCTTGTGAGTTAATAGTAACTGTCAAGCAATATACATGTCCAATATAAAATACCAAATATTTTAATGAAATCAAATAAAGTAGAGCTGTTATGTTATATTGGTTTCATGAGTATTCTAAGGTACCTTGAAACTCCACCTACAATAGTGGCTTTTTGAATGTACGATTTGGGATGTGGTGCCATTAAATAGATATACCACTATACATAAAATAAGGACCAGTAGAATTTCAGAATGTTCCTTTGATTTTCTATCACCTAATGGGGTAAAATCAAAGATCGTTTTCGACCAAAGTGATGAGAAAATCAAAGGAGCAGGATGAAAAATTTTTCTTGGAACAAAATACTAAGGGGGTTATTCACAAAGCTGCCGAAGGATCTAGCCGTAGCTTCGGCTGATCCTTTGGATAGCTGCGGCCCTACGACCCCTTCGGTTCAGTAGAACAGAAGGGCTGCTGTACGGGCTATTCACTACAGCCCGTACAGCTCCCGAAGTTGGCCGAGCGGCTCAGTCGAGCCGAAGGCATATGCATCGGCTCGACTGAGCGAAGGAGAAAGATGAAGCTGGCCGGCCGACAGGCTGCTACTGACAGCTGGGCGGAGCCAGCCGTCATTTCACGGCTGGCTAAGGCCACTTGCAGAGACAGATCAGCGTCCCCTGGTTACCAGGTAACCAGGGGACGCTGATCTGTCATTACTCTCTCTGGGAGTCTCCCGCTATTAGATAGCGGCTCCCGCCCGGGAGATAAACACTTTCTCCCAGAAAGGTTTACTCTGCTCGATCAAGCAGAGTAAACCTTTCCCTGCTCTGGTTTTTTTTTTTTTTTGCAGATAGCAAAGAAGCAAAGAAGCTATTGCTTCCTCTGCTATCTGAGAACTCAGCAGAGTCAGCTTTCATACCACCTCCGGCTCTGCTAATCGTTTTTTTTTTTTTTTCAACTTTTTTCAACTGTTTTTCTATTCTGCTCGGTACCACAGAGGCGCCGAGCAGAATAGCCAAGCCGAATGCCGCTCGATCGGCTCACTTCACTTTGGGTCGGTTATTCACACGGCTGCCTTTGGCAGCTTTGTGAACAACCCCCTAAGTAAATGTGGTTTTTACTTGAGAAACTCCATTCATTTTCAATGTTAAAATCAAACAAAATTTTGAATAACATTCTACAAGTCTCTGATGGCATTATTAAATCTGAGTTTGTGTATTTGCGTTCGTTGACTAGAAACTTTAAAAATATATCTTAGGGCCGGAGATGATGGCATATAAATGACACATCGTGTTTTCTTTTGATGTCTTCAGCCAAGGTGGATCAAGTTAAATTCGACATTAACCAGTTGTATGCCAGACCAGAGTTAGCAGCAGAACAGAGGATGGTGGATGATGCTTCTGGCAATGTGCAGGTGAGCCAGTAATTCATCTGTGAATGTCATTTGTATTGAACTACGGTAGAAAAAAAAACTTGTGTGAATACCTTAAGGCTTTCTTTAAAATTCTAAAAATATAAAACTTTTCCTCACAGATCTGGAGAGTGGAAAACCTGGAGCTTAAAGAAATCGATCCAAAGATGTATGGAAGATTCTATGGAGGGGATTGCTACTTAGTGCTTTATACTTACATTAAATCTGGGAAACCAAATTACTTCCTATACATGTGGTTGGTAAGTGGGATGTTCTCTTTAAAAGAAGACTGCAAATTATACAATAATGATTCATCAAATTGTTTTTCTTCCCATTAACAAAATGTAATATTTCTTAACTATCTAAATACATATTTTTTGAAAATGATGTATCTTTTATTCAAGGTTTATTTAATAGGGCAAAGCACAATGTTTAGTAATCCACAGTAAACAATCAGCAGGCATCTTTCATTGGCCTGATACAACCATTAAAAAGTAAATGTGATTGCCATTGCTTGAGGTCACTGCGCATTATTTCTCGACTTTGCTTTGTTGTATGCAGACCTAATTTAAAGCTGAACTCGTCAGATATAAAATACCCAAGTCAGGGCAGCTCTGTGTTCACTGCTACATCCTTAAATATATTTAAACGCAAGTAGTGGAAGTGCCCAAATTTGACTTGGTTGCTGGACAGCTTGCAGTTCCTCTTAGCAGAGCTCAGACTAGGGGAAGGCAAAGCAACACAAAGAGCCAATCAGTTTGTGCTGCAGTGCAAAAACATGTTGATAGAAGGCAAGAGCAGAGCAACAGATAGATGAGCTCATCAATCTGCCGCTTCTCACTTTGCTGTCTAATCACAGGTGAGGTGGGAAGGAGATCTGTAAGTGTTACTGCACTGTAGCAGAGAAAAACAGGTCTCCTTTCCTGTCAGACAAGGCCATGCTGGGTGGCAGAGCAGTATAAATTTAAGGACTGGAAAGACACAAATGCAAATCTTTTGCTCCTATAAATGTATTTAATCTGTGTATTTATTTGTTTGCCTGGAGTCCTGCTTTAAGCCGCCTATACAGCAGGTTGTTGTGCAGCAGATCTATACACTGAGGTCTCCTTTTCTTGCTACATGAAAATTCTGTATGAATGCTATGTGGGTTGTTTGTTCCATACACAATGCCAGTGTAATAATTGTATTATCATTTGTCACTGAACAGGGCCGCCATGCTACTCAAGATGAGATCACGGCATGTGCTTTTCATGCAGTAGAACTGGACCGAAAGTACAATGATCAGCCAGTTCAAATACGAGTGACCATGGGGAAGGAGCCAAAACACTTCCAAGCGATCTTCAAGGGAAAGATGATCATATACGAGGTTACATTTTTATATTTTTAAATTAATGAAATAAGGCTCAAATAGATTTTGAGATTCATTGATAATATTTATTTTATATTAAAAAGTCTGTTGTTACCATAGCGAGCAATTCAACTGTTACAAGGCCTTTAGCAGTCTGGTGATTGCTCAATGTGCCAGTATCACTCAGGTTGGCACTGGGAGAATGTAAAGTAGATGTACTGGGCCAGATAAAAAGATTCAGTGAACACAGTAATAAATCTGCTGGTCAACATCTGGATTCAGCACTGGGAACAAGACAAAAGAACCTAAGGCCAGGCACTTGATATGGTCCAGTCACAACCAATACTGGTTTTAAAGGTGAAGTACTGAGTTACGGACATTTAGGAACATGGACAGAAGGAAGAAAGAATGGACTACAAGTGCAATGACTTCACCGCACTTGTATTTCATAAAGAACCACAAGTTCCTCTGTGGATTTGTGAATGGGTGACGCAGTGTGGATAGAGCCGGGCACAGCCACAGTCTGCAGGGAGAAGCACTGTTACCTCCTGACTATGAGTGTACCATAAAACATGGTCTAACTCAAAAACAGCAGTTCTCAACCTGTTGGTCGTGACCAAAAAGTGGGCCGCAACCCATTGTTGAGAGGGTCGCCGCGTCCATTTTTGCTGCGCTAGGCGAGAGCATCCTCCATGCACAGCAGTGTCAGTCAGCGGGAGGACAGCAACGCCTATGAATAAAAAAGTGCCGCTGTACACACTCCCTGGCCGCTGCAGCGACATCTAGTGGCCGGGGAGTGTTTACAGCAGGACTTTTCTATTCACGGCTGTTGCTGTCCTCCCCCCTCCACTAATGTGCGGGCTCTGCAGGAGGCAGGCATCTTAGCAGTGCTGGGGCAGAGAAGGCTGCATGGAGACAGAGCAGGCAAGCAGGTAGCAGGAGCTGGGGAGGGCGTGTATTCTTGTGAGTGTGCTTCTATTTTTATTTCTAAGTCCAGTGCGTTGCTATGTCCTGAGTCCAGTGCCTTACTAAGTCCTGAGTCCAGTGCCTTACTAAGTCCTGAGTCCAGTGCCTTACTAAGTCCTGAGTACAGTGCAATACTAAGTCCTGCGTCCAGTGCCTTACTAAGGCCTGAGTTCAGTGCCTTACTAAGTCTTGAGTAAAGTGCAATACTAAGTCCTGAGTCCAGTGCCTTACTAAGTCCTGAGTCCAGTGCATTATTAAGTACTGAATCCAGTCCGTTACTAAGTCCGGAGTCCAGTGCTCTGTTGGGGGTCACCAAAACTTGGCAGATGTTACCAAGGGGTCCCAGTCCTAGAAAGATTGAGAACCACTGCTCTAAAAGGTAAACTTAGCCCTTTAAAGTACCTTATACTATAAAGATATCAGGTCAGTTCTCCCAGTCTAAAATGGCACCGAAATTGTATCTTCTACATAATTAGAAAAATAAATGATTCATTTAATTTGTTACCATTTGTTAATTTGTCCAAAAACAAACATTGGAGCTGGGTAGGTATATATACTGTAAATAATATCATAATGTTCATATATTATGTAGGGAGGAACAAGGCGAACTAATAAAGTCGAACCAGAGCCTCCTATCAGACTATTCCAAGTCAAAGGAACTGATGACTTCAACACAAAGGCTACAGAGGTCCCGGCCAGAGCAGCTTCTCTTAATACCAATGACGTCTTTGTGCTGAAGACTGACTCTGTGTGCTATCTATGGTGTGGAAAGGTACGTGAATGATTTAAATATGTAAAACTACAGGTTGACAAGCAACGTTCACGTTATGCATTTTAAAGCTGAACTTCAGGCAAGCAACTACATACAAAGTTAAAATACATACTGTATATCAGAACTGTTCTGTCTGCCAGAAGAGCGTCATTCTGTGGCCAGTTTTGTGAGCAAGGCACCCCTGGCAGGCAACATGGACAGATCCTCAAGCCGCACTGCAGCATCATAGCTTAGAATAAGACACATGTGAAAATGACCCCCCAACCTGCTAAATGGACAAGGGGGTAGTAGCAGCAGACGGATGAGGCCATCCCTCTCTTCTTCTTTCAGCATATTTAATGACAACACATGTTTATACTGCAGGAAATAGCTAGTAGCTAGTGCTGCCCTTATCTCTTAATGTTGTCTTTCAGAGAATTAGAGAAGTCTGGTTTTAAGACAAATTCAGGTACTTAAACTAGTTACATTGGTTATATTTAAAATACATTTAATGAGTTTTAATGGTAATGGCAATGACTGATGTATTTATATTTGCCTAGCATCAACGCAGTTGCTATGTGTATTCGGTAAAGATGCTATACCTTGCTTTTGCCATGCAGTCACTAAATCTGGTTGTTTTATAAAAGATGTTCTATTAGCTCCAATGGAAAATGCATGATATGTACACATAAAGATCATGTGGATCACATGTGTCAAACATAAGGCTATGAGCCGAATCCAGTCCGCCAGACCATTTCATGTGGCCCTCGCTCCTCTCCTACAGCTGTGCTGCAAGCAGGTGCCAGGCATCACAGGAAGGCTGCCGAGGTGCCCAGCAAGGTCCCGGCAGCCTTCCGGTGAATCACAGTGCCTGTTTACATCACTGGCAGCAAATCTCTTCCTTTCTGTGGGTCCATGCCGGCCACATCCGCCAAGACCGACCGGAACCCTTGTGAGACCACACAGCTCTCCTAAGACCCACACAGCCCAGCATAGATCCTGCACGTCCACCTGAGGTTTCACACAGCCCACCATAGAATCAGCACAGCCACCTGAGAGCCTGCACAGTCCACCATAGAACCTGCGCAGCCACCTGAGAGCCCATACAACCCTCCATAGAATCTGCACAGCCACCTGAGAGCCTGCACAGTCCACCATAGAACCTGCACAGCCACCTGAGAGCCCATACAACCCTCCATAGAATCTGCACAGCCACCTGAGAGTCCGCACAGCCCACCATAGACCCCGCATAGCCCCCTGAGAGCCCATACAACCCTCCATAGAATCTGCACAGCCACCTGAGAGTCCGCACAGCCCACCATAGACCCCACATAGCCCACCTGAGAGTCCACACAGCCCACCATAGAACCTGCACAGCCACCTGAGAGTCCGCAGAGTCCACAGAGAACCTGCACAGCCACCTGAGAGTCCGCACAGTCCACAGAGAACCTGCACAGTCACCTGAGAGTCTGCGCAGCCCAGCATACAACCTGCACAGCGACCTGAGAGTCCACATTGGTATTAATCGAATGCAGAGGCAATTGTTTAATATGATAAAGAGTAGATACATTTATATAGTCTTACGGATACAACCGGCCCTTTGAGTGCAATCATAATGCTGATGCGGGCAACAATGAAATTGAGTTTGACACCCCTAATGTAAATGCTGCACATCTCAGTGCAGTTGCTGTGCAGTAGCTCCAGAGTGTTATTTCTGTATTCATATTTGAATCAGACATATTTTACTAGGAGGAATATCTGGGTTGCAGGTTACATGGCATTTATAGTACTTGGTACAAGATGCTGAAACCAAATTAACACTAAAGTGTTTCTCCATATGTCCCTGACCCCCTAACACTAACTTTGGGCTAAACAAGACACCTACATTTACCTTTGCACAGACCCTTTGGCTAAATTCATACCTCTCCATTTTAGGCACATAATGTTTTTGAAAATACAAAGACACATAATATAAATGTGTGAAAATACAAACTGATCCACATTTTAATGATTGTTGCACATTTTCAAAAGGCATTAACATGATTTTCGTGCATTTCCATCAATTTGAACAGAAACACAAGTGTTAAATGTCATAGGTGTGAATGCAGCCTAAGACTTAAAGCAAGGGTTAAGTTCTTGTTAACCACGTAGCTGGCTGGTTGTCACAGTGCTCCCTCCAGCCTGCCTCCCCTTCCGCTGCAGCAATGTTATGTCCCTTGGCATCCTTGCATCGTATACACTGTGTATAGAACGTAATGACTTGGGGACCTTAGACCGCTGCGGCAGAGGGGGAGAGAGGCTCCAGGATCCGGTCTAACAACAAGCCATCTCCGAGGATTGGATGAGTATAACTTTTTTTTATTTTCGCACCTAGATACTTAACGTTTGCAGTGCGGAGTGTAAAACCCTTTATACCAGAACAAGCTGAGCCCTAAAACCTAACCTAACACATAATCCCCTAAACCTCAGCTTTGCTCATGCTGGGCAAATTAACAAGTTCATTTAAATGCTCCTCTGCCTCCCTGGACCTAAACTGACCCATTTGCTCCCCCCACCTGTTCTTTAGCTCAGAGTTATGTGATATACTCGGTCATTATGGGTATAAAAGGACATGCGATTGTCTCCTCTGTCTTCCACAAAGCAGTGCTGGGTGCTTGAGTGGGCAATCACCAGAACTGTATCCCGACACATAAGGGCTGTGAGAAATCCTTAGCCCTGTCTACAGATAAATTTAGCACATACACAGTGGGGAAGTGGAGGAAACATTAGTATAAACAGCAAGGGGTAATTCAGGGAGCATTTCCCTATTAAAGTGTATTCTACTTTTGCAGTCAATTTTGAGAAAACCCCTCTTTGTTTTTTGTGTGTTCTCATTCACACAATATACAAAAAAAAAATGTTTTCAACCGTTTAGATGTTTTGTTGCAGCAAGCAACATGGCTGATTCAAGTTTTTTCTCAGCACCTTCACAGTGATCTGTCCTTATAGAAAGACTTAGGACTGACATTTCAGGATTGTTTCTCTCATTGACTTCATTAACATACAATGGAGAAGCTCCTCACCCCTCACAACCCCTACTAACATTACAAAAGGAAGTGGAAATTTTAACCCTTAAGAAGCCAACAAACCCTAACCCTAGTAAAAGCAACTTAAACTGCAAGAAGCATTTTTTTATATTTAGTTTATGCTATATGAATGGGGACATGTAATAAATGTAAAATAGGTGTTATCCCAATTTGGCTGTGAAAGTGGGAATACACTTTAAATGTAACTGGTAAACTAATGTCTAATAGTAAACTGAATTAGCTAATATACACTGCACTTAATGTATGAGTTGGCGTGAGGCGCTGTATACAAGGACATACTCTCCAAGGAGTTTAATGTATGACAAGACACGTCAGTTTAGTCATCTAAATCATATTGTATTTTTTCTTTCCTCTCTTTAGGGTTGCAGTGGAGATGAGCGAGAAATGGGAAAGACTGTGGCCAGCATAATCTCCAAGCAGGACAAACAAACCATCCTTGAGGGTCAGGAACCGAATGAATTCTGGGTGGCTCTGGGAGGAAAGGCTCCTTACACAAATGATAAAAGGTAAATTCCCTTTCACTATATTTACCTTCACATGCACGTACAGTATATCCCAACATTTCATTCTGAACCAGTCATACATTGTAGAACATAGTAGATCCATGCCTATAGCCTTATGAAAATAAACCTTATTCCTGCAGCTTCTGCATCCTGCAGCTTTTGTATGGATGCTACAGTGGAAGATTGGGGGGTTTTCAAAACCTCATTTCTCATTTTGCAGCACATTGGTGGGTACAGATCTTTTCGGCAGCACTTCCCTCCACTTCATTTGGTTAAGATGGCTTTAAAAATACTTCTATGGGGGCACCCCCTTATGTATGGGGGCAACAAGCTCAGCCGTAAAGATTTGGATGATCTGAGTGTGTCTGGCTGATCCAGCAATTCACTGCACAGGAGAATGATTGGAGCTCCGATGTGTGTAAGGATAGCCTTTGCCTTGAACATAAAGGTTGTTGAGCCCCTACTGTTTTGCTTACTACATATTAAAGAGAACACAACCCAGGTAGCTGGATCTACTTTTTATGTAGTAATAAAGAGCATTACTTTAATCATATCTGCAAACTCCATAAAATCCAGAGACATTGTTAGTACAGATTTCATCTGCTACCAAGTGGGTAATTGTAATTCTCTAGCTGTCACCTACTCTGCTTTATGACCATTTAACAATAAAGCTGAATATTATTCAGCAAAACCAAACACTAAGTGCTTGGATCAAATACGGACTTGAAAATATTTCAGCTATATGAGATCTCTATGTTGGCTGACACCAATGACCTCTTTAATCCGAGGAATACCATAATCTGCTATTCCACACCATTTACCTTATTTCTATGCTGATAAACTCCTTACAATTCTGGCTACTTCGAATAGTGTGCTGCAATGGCACCCTCTGGTGTCACTACTTTAATGTGTGCTATAGTCACAGTCTATAAAAATGCTTCTCCAAAAACATTTAAAGCTGAATAAACAGATGTTGTTTGTTTTTTTTAACAACTCTTTATTTATTTTCGACTTTCCTGAAGATAGTGCTAGGTCTTACTTTCGGGGAAACACGGTATACATACATAAATAAATACAGCCAGCCATCACCAAGTATAAACATACTAATACACATAAAAATATTCTAACATTCATAATGTCCTACATCCAAATACTCATTCTAAACCCCCCTAAAAGAAAACTAGAGAAAAGGGGAGAAAAAGAAGAGGGGAAAAAAAACTTCAATCCCCTCAAATCTTAAATTTCATATTAATTATCTTAAATATACAATTCCAGTGACTAATATGAAGAGGACAATCCTCAATATAATTTTGTGTTAAAAAATAAATCCCTAAATAAAAAGTATCCATATATATGCGTGTACAAACCTACCCATACCCATATATATCCAGACTATATACCCACTCATATTGATCCATACACCTCTATATGTACACCACATCTTCATTGAATCCACCATATTTTTAAATCAAAATAAAAAGTGAAAATTATTATAATCCAACATCCCAAACCTAGTGTCAAACATGTGGAGAAAGAACCTCTAATATTATCATTATTATACCATATTCCCCCTTTGGGGTTTATATACTATTAATTCTATAATTTACTATACACCTTGTGAGGAAAAAGAAAAAACCCTCCAACTCCAATCCCTTCAAATCTTTAATTACCTAATTAATTATCTTAATCCGATTCCGGCGACTCCAACAGATGTTGTTTAAATACACGAGGCGTGTGCATTCTTACTTGGTGTGCTTTTATTATTTCTTTTAGATCGGTGCAGTAATTGTGCCTGAAATGTTACTTTTGTGTAGAATCTTCCTGTAATAAAGACCGGTCACTGCTGCATTCTCTCCTTGTGCAGGGTGACTGGTCTTGTATCCGCCACCTCCTGTTGTTTTCTGCAGGCAGCCTGTAGTAGGTGGGACCAATAAGGCCCCTCCCACAGCTCTGCTCTCTGCTCAGGCTATGTGCAGCACAGTGAAAATATCACTGCTAATTTTGCAAGGTAATAAATGTGTTTGCAAAGGCATTTGGTGCACACATCTTGGGGGGAATTTATCAAAACTGGAGCAGGCAGAATCTGGAGCAGCTGTACATGGCAACCAATCAGGTTCTGTCTTTTATTTTCAAAGCTTAACTGAACAAACTGAAGAGATAAACTGATTGGTTACTATAGGCAACTGCTCCAAATTTAATCTGCTTAGATTTGATAAACTCTCCGCCCCCTTGGGTTTATCTCAATTTGGCTATAAAGGAATATATTTACAATGAATGGTAGTTTTTGTGCCTGGAGTTTCCCTTTAAAATGAAGCAAAAATACTAATACTGTAAATATTAGTATTCATTTTCTAGTATATAGTTTTCAGTACAAGATCAAGTTCTCAATGTTTTGTTTGGTGTGTCTAGATTCCAGGAGACTGTGATGCGGTATAAGCCCCGCCTCTTTGAGTGTTCCAATCAGACGGGTCGGTTCATCATGACGGAGTTGGTAGACTTCGATCAGAGTGACCTTGATGAGGATGATATTATGTTACTGGACACCTGGGAAGAGGTAAGAGACATGTTCTGCCACCACTGAGACTCCGCCACTATTCTGACATTTACTGTCATATTTCATGCTGCGTTGAGTGTATTTCACATCCAGCACTGTTAGGCAAAGACACATTTTCCTCTAAATACAGAACTGCTGAGATAAAAATGAAATATGTGGTCAGTTTGCTTCCACGAATGGTGGTCATACACAAGCAGAATCTGCTACATTGTGTGCAGCTATCTGGGCAAGTATGGGGTGGCAGAGAGTTCCCTAGAGGGCAATAAGCAGTGCTTACTAAGGGGTCTATTCACAAAGCTGCCGAGGGCAGCCGAGTGAATGACCGATCAGAAGTGAAGTGAGCCGAACACTGTTCGGCTATTCACTTCAGGCTGGTACGGCTGATTTCAGCCGTATATCGGCTGAAATCAGCCATACATCGGCTTGCTTCGTGTGGTTGTCAGAAGCAGGCTGTCGGCCGGCCAATGGCCGGCCGCTCGGCCAGCTTCGTCTTTCAGCACGGCTCAGCGCTCGACTGAGCTGCTCGGACGTGATCGGGAGCTGTACGGGCTATTGTGAATAGCCCGTACAGCACCCCCTCGGTTCTCCAGAACCGAAGGGGTCCTGGTGCCGAAGCTAGCCGAAGGATCGGCCGAAGCTACGGCCAGATCCTTCGGCAGCTTTGTGAATAGACCCCTAAGTTAGAAGTTCTATTTGGCTATGAATTATTAATCTAAAATGGCACTTAAGACATACTAAATACAGCTTTAGGGATGCTAAAATTGCATCAAATATTTACTTGGAGGTCACTTTAGCCTGCCTTACCTGCTATTGCTTCTTGATGAATCGGAGCTTTTTTTCTCAAGCACAAATGTCTAATTTGCTAGAAAATCTAACAGCAAGTGAATAATAATCATTCCCTGTTCTGTGGGGAAATGGAAAATTCACAGCAAATAATATGCATAATCAGTGGCCTCTCACTCAGTCTGCCAACAATGAGTTTAACAACACTGGAGACATTTTGGAGACATCAGGAGAATGGACTGTGGTTTGTTTTCAGTTGGCAGCCTTACAAATGATTCCAGCAATCCTGGTCATAATTGGCCCATATATGTGGTGTAGTGATAATGGGATCATGTATGGGATCTGGTGATAACTGGTCCATATATGGGGTGTAGTGATAATGGCATCATGTATGGGATCTGGTGATAACTGGTCCATATATGGGGTGTAGTGATAATGGGATCATGTATGGGATCTGGTGATAACTGGTCCATACATGTGGTGTAGTGATAATGGGAACATGTATGGGATCTGGTGATAACCGGTGTATATATGAGGCATAGTGATAATGAGATCATGTATGGGATCTGGTGATAACTTGTCCATATATGTGGTGTAGTAATAATGGGACCATGTATGGGATCTGGTGATAACTGGTCCATATATGGTGTGTAGTGATAATGAGACCATGTATGGGATCTGGTAATAACTGGTCCATATATGAGGTATCGTGATAATGGGACCATGTATGGAATTTGGTGATAACTGGTCCATATATGGGGTGTAGTGATAATGAAACCATGTATAGGACCTGGTGATAACTGGTCCATATATGTGGTGTAGTGATTATGGGACCATGTATGGGATCCGGTGATAACTGGTCCATATACGGGGTGTAGTGATAATGAGATCATGTCTTGGATCTAGTGACAACTGGTCCATATATGACACAACCAACTCCAACCAGGGAGTCAGCTATTATTGTTCCAACATGCCAGAGATGTAATGCATTAGTTATCTTGACATATTTGTTTTAAATAAGAACACGTTTATTCTCATTCAGACATATGCAGCTTTTATAATGTTATGCAGAATAAACAAAACTTACGCTGTCTGTGAAGGTTCTCATTTATCTAGGTCATGGTATATCTATAAAAAAGAAAAAATCAAGGCAACTAAACTTGCTGTATTTTTTTTTTGTTATTGCTTTGCTTGAAGACGTTTCACTGGACTGGTTTACTCGATTCAGAATGACTTGTACAAAAATGCTCTGGGAATAACAAGAATGGGGTCAGAGACCGTGAGGCTTTAAGG